AATTTTGTAAAATAATTGAATATCAGAAGAATTTTATTATTTATAAAGAGAATTGAAATTTTGACGAGAATTTCTTTAAATTTTTGAATATAATTGAATTTCTGCGAAGAATTTTATTATTTTTGTAAATAATTGAATTTTTGCAATTATTTGAAACTTCTCCAAAATTAATTAATTAAATATATATATTAAAAAATTTAACTAATTTGAGAATTATTTAAATTTTGAAGATTTTTGCAAAAATTTAAGTTAACTTTAGAATTTCTAATGAAATTCATTCAAAATTGAAATTTTATAAATAAATTAAAAATTAAAATCTTTTCAAGTTCATCTATTTATGAAAATTGTAAACGAAACTATTTTAAAATTCAATTAATTTTGAAATGTATAAATAAAATTATTCAGTAAATAATTTCTAAGTTATAATTTTATAAAATAGTTCTTCAAGTATTAAGGGTATGTGGAATCAGCCAACTTCAATTAATACATGTATTAATATTCCCACCGGTTTTCTAAAAAAATATTTTATAAATCTTGACAAAATATAAGAAAAATAATATTTTATTTATTGAGGCATGGATCTCTAGTCCAATTAATACAAAAATTTGCTTTTAAATATTATTTTCCATTTAATAAAAAGTTTAATATTTTTTGAGAAAAAAAGACAATCAAATACAAATTAATATTGAAAAAAATGAATAAATTTATATTTTTCTATTCAAACTTTCATTTTTTTGACAATTTTCGAGAAAAAAAGACAATCGAATACAAATTGCCATTGAAAAAAATGAATGTTAACATAGAAAAATATAAATTTATTCATTTTTTTCAATATTAATTTGTATTTGATTGTCTTTTTTCTCAAAAAATATCAAACTTTTTATTAAATGAAAAATAATATTTAAAAGCAAATTTTTGTATTAATTGGACTAGAGATCCATGCCTCAATAAATAAAATATTATTTTTCTTATATTTTGTCAAGATTTATTAAATATTTTTTTAGAAAACCGGTGGGAATATTAATACATGTATTAATTGAAGTTGGCTGATTCCACATACCCTTAAGGCCGTTTTCGGCATGGTCATGGATCGCGATGGATCGTGATCCAGATCACTTTTCCTATGCTGTGATTGGTTACTTTGTGATCCGGATCGCGATCCATGATCGTACCGAAAACAGCCTAAGTTATTTAAAAATAGAAATTATTGTCAGAAATGGAAAAAATTGAAGGTTTTTTTTATTAGAATTTTTGTTTTCTTAGAATTATATTAATATTATAATAAAAATAAAAAAATGAAGATTAAATCGTCGAAACGTTTGAAATTTCCAGAATGTGCCGCACTAACCGCGCATAGTGGTTAGTGCTTCTTGTGGCTTTAAAAAGTCATTTCTACACCAAGATTCCACTTTTGCAAGTGTTTCTCCTTTGTCTAAACAAAAACATAATGAAAATCCGCCTTTGTCTCTGTTGTAACCATTTTAAAAAAATTTTCCTCACTTTTAAATTCAGTTATAAATATAAATTCTCCTTTAACCTTTTTTTTCGGGGTGAAACGCAACACGACTTTCATTAATAAAAAGCGCAATACACGAGGGAGAGAGATTTCTTTTTTTTTCTAAAAAAAATTCTTATCCTACTCACAGTTTCTTTGATTTAAATATAAATGTACTCACATACATCATTTCCTGGATTTGTTTTTGTTCCTGTGTCGAGTGCAGCTCAATAATCTGGAAATAAAGAGAGAAAAATTTTATTAAATTTTTTATAGAAATACGTTTCTCTAAAAATTATTAAAGTCAATTTATAAAAAGAAAAATGCGCGACAATTTTTTAAAACTAAATGTGTGAAAGTATATACTCTTTGGAGGGAGAGAGTGTTGGCGCATTTATATCTTTTATGGAGTTAATACTTATAAGTCGATGATCCGAAAAAAAGTTCTGTAATATCATTTTTATTATTTTTTATTCTCCTTAATATCCTTGAGGTTTGACAGTTATATTGATTTTATAGGAAAAGCTTAAGAGAGTGACTAAAAGTACTAGATTTCCTGAGGATTATATTTCTCTGATTGAAAGCGCCAAGTCGAAATATGACGCCGAAGAAAATCCATTGACTTACTTAAAAACTCCTTTATCTACTTATAATTTTTCTTTGCATGAAACTTAATTTACTTTTATTTAATTTTTACCAGTTTATTAACTTAATAATTTCCAAATAATTTATAGATAAAAATAATTTTTCATTTAATTTTAACTTAAGTTTGTTATTTTATACATAATAAATAATATAATTTTATAAAAAATTAACAATACGCAGTTTTTAGCCTTTTTACTTTTGGGTTAATTAACGCCATGTGCATCAGTCACTTTCTCAAAAGATTTTCATGAATACGTAATTGTCCATGACAATTCCTCCCTTTCAAGTTTCATATCGACGTCTCATGAATTTATCAGCGTAATTTACATCGTTCAACTAGCTTTACTTTTTGAAAGAAAGAAAATTAGTTTTTCAAGTACCAAACTAGATTATTTTTTTATAACGCTCGTACTTTTTCTAATCAAAATGTCACTGCAAATGAAATTTCCAATATTTAAAAACTTTTTAAATATACCTCATCAAAAGCTGATTCAATCGCTATCTTCATGTTTTGTAAAAAAATTCTTATAAAAGTTATTGAACTTAAAAAATTTTTAATTTGAAATTTTTGAAATTCTTAATTCGAACAGAAAAATAATATTTATGAAATATTTATTTTAAAAAAAGTTATTGATTATATTATATTCTTAAACTTTAAAGTATATAAAAAAACTTTAACAAATTTTTATTCTAATTTCAAATTTGACATGAGATTTTGAAAATTTAAAATAATTAAACTTTCTTGTACGAGGAAAATTGAATTTCGCAAAAATTGTTATCTGATACCTCAATTAAAAATAATCTTCATTAGGAAAATTTTAATTATTCTGAAGAATAGAGAAGGTAAAAAAATTATTATATATTCAACTTTCTGAACAAAGAATAAAAATAATATTTTTTTAGAGAATTTCCACTACTTTTAATTCGCTAATTTTCAAAAAAATTTCGAAAACATCAATTATTCAACAAAATTTTATGCAATTTATTTTTCAAAATAATTCAATTATGTAGTTTCAGTAATAATAAAATTTTTCATGAAAATTCAATTTTTTAACAAAATTTTTAATTAAATTCTAAACATGAATTTAATGATTTTCATAAATAATAAAACTCTTCGAAGAATTTCAATTATTTTTATTACTATTTTAAAATTAAAAATCGAAAAATTCAGTTATTTTCACAAATAAAGTTTTTCACAAGAATTCAATTATTTAAACTAATAAAATTTTCATAATATTTATTATATTTCGAAGCAATTAATTATTTAAAACAATGTTAATAAAATTCTTATGAAGAATTCAATTAGTTTCAAAAATAATAAATTTTTTTACAGAAATTCAATTCTTTTTAAATATTAAAATAAAATAAAAGTTTATTAAAATAAACTTTTCCGCAATAATTCAATTATTTTCAAAAATAATGAAATTCTTCCCTGTAATTCAATTACTTTTGAGAAATTATAATAAAATCCCTAGCAACTATTCAATTATTTTGATAAATAATAAAGCTAATTGCAGGATTTGAATTATTTTTAATACAATTTTACAGGAATTGCTCAAAAAATGTAATTATTCTTAAAAACTTAATTTCAATTCTCGAAAAAATCAATTATTTAAAAAAATGTTTTTTTAATATTTCTTGGAAGGATTGAATAATTATTTTCAAAAATTTAATAAAATTGTTCGAAAGAAATTAATTGCATTAAATACAATTTTAATTAAATTTTTTTGAAATAATTCAATTATTTTTTAAAATTTTAATAAAAATTTTTCTAAGAATTCAATTATTTACACAAATAATTTTTCGAAAGAATTCAATTATGTCGATAAATAAGAAAATTACTCCCGAAAATTCCATTATTTTGATGTATTTTAATAAAATTCTTTTCAAAATTCAATTATTTTCAAAAATAAAAATATTCATCACAATAATTCAATTATTTTTAAAAGTAATAAATTTCTTCTTGGAAATAGAATTCTTTGTAAAATTTAATTATCTTTAAAAACTTTTCGCATTTTAATGATTTTCAATATCTACTATTTTCATAAAATTTCCAAACAGAATTCAATTATTTAAAAAATGGTTTATAAAAATTTTCGTAAAAATTCAATTTTTTTCATGAATAATAAAATTTTTATCAATTCAATTATTTAAATTAGAATTTGCATAAAATTATTCGAAAGAAATGAATTATATAAAAAGTTTTATAGAATTTTTCGCAAGAATTAAATTATTTTTATAAATATTTAAATTCTTTCGCATGAATAATAAAATTCGTTGTGGGGGAATTCAATTTATTAGCAGGATAAGAAAAAAGTATATATTTTTGATCAAAAATTAGGAAAAAATCAGGAAAATAAAAAATATTGAATGGAATTTTTGTCAATTTTGTGAAGTAAAAACGAGTTTTTTTTGACATTAAAAAAATTACAATAACCCACAAAAATTAATTTTCAAAACAAACAAATGAATGCAGAGAATTTGCTAACAAAAAGGAAACTTACTATTATTATAAAGTATTCTAATTTACTATTTAATTCATATTGTTCAAAGCCAAATTTTGTATTATTAATTTTGAATAAAAAAATATTTTTATTTAATTTTTAGTTTAATTACAGTTTTAGTAAAATATAAATATAAAATAATATAACATATTTTACTTTTTTTTGTGTTAGCTCCTTTAGTGATTAGAGGGAAAACAATTTTTTTCCCCTCCAACAAAATTGTGGACTCGCGGTGATTGTTTGAGTATGTAACCATATGGAACGGTTGAAGCGCTTCTACTTACAGAAATATAGGGGTGGTTTAATCGTACCAGATTTACCCGCTCTCATGGCACTTGTGCGCCGACCATCGAACCGCGTGCTTCTCCCGAAGGACTCGATGTCCTGTTTTCTCCCGACGGAAGTCCTTTCCAATAATTTTTCACTTTTCTTATCACTCAAAAACACTCCCTTATAAAATAAAAATAATGCCAACAAAATATCGAAACTAATTTTTTCTCTTCTCTAAACAAACTAGAACTTTAATTCAAATTTTAAAATGTAAACCGAAACTTTTTTTTGCACATACACTTAAAATAATTCATCAAACTAATTTTCTTTTCAAGACTAAGATTTTATTTTTTGGAAACGTCTGTAAAATGTTACAATTAACCAAATTTTGTTTGAATATAAAATTATATAATTTGTAAAATTATGAAATCAATTCTGTGTGAAAAATTTAAAATTAAACAAAAAACCCTGAAGACTTATCGAAGTGAACCAAAGTGAAAATTGGTAAAAGTGGTGGTATTTTGTAAAATTGAAAAAAGTGTAAAGAAAATTGTTTTTCTTCGAGGAAAAGTTATTTTTTCTACGAGTTATTTTTCCTAATCCAGTATATTTCTAAACAATTCAAGAGAAATTGAGGAGAGAGTATAGCAAAAAAATGGATAACTTTGAGAGGAATATTACAAATTTCGATAATCTCAGTGAACAGGAGTATTTAACGAAGATATTGGGACCTCAACATTTACCCTCGGAACTTGTAATACCGATAACGTTGATTTATGCAACAATCTTCATTACAGGAGTCTTTGGGAATTTGATCACTTGCATTGTTATTAAAAGAAATCCTACCATGCAAACGGCGACTAATTACTATCTATTTAGTCTAGCTGTATCCGACCTGCTGCTTCTTGTTCTCGGTAAGATGAGAAGCTATATAATTGATCAAAGCGCCTCACGTCCTAAATACGCGCTTTGTATACCCAAAATTTATGTCTACCGACTATTCACTCCATATAAACTTGGACAGTTTCCCACGCAGTAAATTCCAAATAAATTAACAGTCCACATTTTGAAAGCCCATTATTTGATAAAATTTAGTTTTACTTTATTTACAATTAAATACCAAATTTGCTAAATACCATTTCATTCGATTTATTTTAATTTTATTTAAACTTCAAGATTTTTAATCTTTTTATTTGTAGCTTTTTAAGTATTTCTATTTACTTTTATCTACTTTTATGTATTTAATATTTGCAATATTTAATGTATTTAATTTTTCCAATATTCGAAAACTTTTCAAATCCAACTTCTTCAAAAACTGGTTTATTTATTTTTCAATTTCGATTGTGTTAATTCAGGGTTGCCACAAATATTTTATTTTATTTTTCCCTGACTTTTCCCTGATTTCCAGGCAAAATTTTGACTTTTTCCCTGACCCTAAAGAATATTCTAATTCACTCTAAAAATTATTAAATACTCAAAAAAATGTTCTATTACATTTATTTACAAATTCTTCAAAACATTCAAATTCAAAGCTTTTTAAAATTCAACAACTTATAAAATAGTATTATAAAATTTTTCAAAAAAAAAGTTAATTATTTACAAAAATCCTAAAAAAAACCTTCGCCAGAATTCAATTATTTTTACAAGTATAGTAAAATTTCTCAAAAAAACTCAATTATTTAAAAAAAAAATGTAATAAAATTCGTTGCTATAATTCAATTATTTTCAGAAATAATAAATCGATTATTCGGTAATTCATTTTTAAATCAATTTTATTAGAAACTTCTAGACAAATTCAATTATTTAAATAAAAAAATAAATAATTTATATTGAATAATTGAATGTTTCTTAAAATTGAATTCTCATAAAGAACTTTATCAACAAATTTTTAAATAATTGAATTCTTTTAACAAATTTTAATAAAATTTTTAAGAATAATTACATTTTTTGAGGAATACGATTAAAATATTGTATCAAAAATAATTGAAATCCTGCGATGAGTTTTATTATTTATGAAAATAATTCAAATTTTTCCAAGAATTTTATTAAAATTTTTCTAAAATTATTGAATTTCGGAGAATTATTTTATTATTTATAAAGATAATTGAAATTTTGAAGAGAATTTTTGTTAAACTTTTGACCATAATTGAATTTCTGCGAAGAATTTTATTACTTTTAAAAATAATTTTATTCTTCCAACTAATTTTATTCAAGTTTATAAAAATAATTGAATTTCGGAGAAGAATTTTATTATTTATATAATTTAATTCTTGCAACGAATTTTTTTCAAGTTTATAAGAATTTAATTTCGGTGAAGAATTTTATTATTTATATAAAAATAATTGAATTCTTGCAACGAAATTTTTTCAAGTTTACAAAAATAATTGAATTTTGGTGAAGAATTTTATTATTTATAAAAATAATTGAATTTCGGTGAAGAATTTTATTATATTTACAAAAATAATTGAATTCTTGAAAAGAAATTTTTGTTAAATTTTTTAAAATAATTGAATTCTTGCGAAGAATTTTATTCAAATTTTTTTAAATAGTTGAATTTCTATAAAAATTTTATTACTTTTGAAACTAATTGAATTATTTCGAAGATTTTTTTTTTAAATTTTGTAAATGATTGAATTCCTGTGAAATTTTGCCAAGAATTTTATAAAAATTTTTTAAAATAATTGAATTTTGAAGAAGAATTTTATTATTTATAAAGATAATTGAAATTTTGATCAGAATTTTTTAAAAAAATTTTAACATGATTGAAATTTTGTGAAGAATTTTTATAACTTTTGAAAATAATTGAATTTCTGGAATTATTTGTAACTTTTCCAAAATTCAAATTTTTTTTTAGTTTTTTTTAACTAAAATTCTTCTATCAATCTAGTATTTATGAAAATTGTAAAAATTATTCATTAAATAATTTATAAGTCATAATTTTATGATATAGTTCTTGAAAAATTAAGTTATATAAAAAGAAATTATTGTCAGAAATAGACTAAAATTCGTAATTAATAAATTATCAAAAATACAAAACAATTCCAAATAATTCAACAAATTCCAAGTCCAGTGCTCAACGGAAAAAAACAGTAAAAGTTAGTTTATACTTCTCTCCCCTGTAGTTAATTTTCCTTTTACCCGTTTAAAACACAATTGAAAAATTAAGAGAAAAATTTAAAAATATTTAAAAAAAAAAATTAAAATAATAAACAACCTTAATTGCAACAATAATGTAAAACATAAATTCATTCTCTTTTTGTTCCTTGAGAGAAAATGTGCAACATTAATTTCTTTAATTTCATTATAACATTCTCGTGTGAAAAGAAAAATCTTCTTCTCTCAACATTTTCCTTGAAACTCTTAAGGAAACATAATATTTTAATGTGTTTCTCTTAACAATTTTATTTTACGATTTCAAAAATAAAAATAAAAAAAAAAGAAAGATTATATTCTCGGAAAAAGTTTACCGCTGTGAAAATAATCTGCATATGCGTGTTGTTTGGCTACAGCTGTAGCAAAAACCAATTTCTCGCTTCTCTCTCTATATATAAACTACGTTAAAAAAAATACAATAATTCAAAATAATAGTATAATTTTCCCAAAGTTTAATTTTCCTCACAGTGGAAATATTTGAAATTTTATTCACGAAAAATATTCATTGTAGTTGACGCAGTGTTTCGCTTAGTATGTAGTGAACAATAATTTTTACTGAGTTTTAAAAAAAAATAAAAAATTTTTAATTTTTTTTCCCATTATTTTAATTTTTGTAACAAAAATAATTTAAAACAAGAATTGAACTTCAAGCAAGAATTCTTCATCGGAAGAAAAGTTAGTAAAATATTGTTACGAATTTTACCTAAAGAGACAAATTTTCAATTCGTTTCACTTCAAAGGTGAAAAACTTAATTTTCAACGTTTTGTGCAATTAAAAGTTGCACTTGAATTTGAAATACAATTTTCTCTCAATAGAAAACAGTTTTTTTAACGTAAACTTAAGGAAAGTTCCTAAACGATCAAATTATAATTTTTATTAAAATGCAAAATTTAATTATTTAAAATATTCGAAATTAAATTATTTACCTGTTCAACAAAAGAAATTTTAAATTCAATTTGTCTTTATATTTTTAAATACGAAATTATAGCACTTTTATTTTGACTGTCCCTAAGCTTCTTTATTAAAAAAATATTTTTTAACAAATTTCAGTTTTAAAAATATAATTTTTTCCCTACTTTTCGTTTGTTATGTAAAAAAATATTAAAATAAATATAAACCTCTTCGATAATCTGTAAACAATGAATTTATTTGATCAATTTTCAAAAAAAAATTTATACGCGAGTCATTAAAAGAATATAATTCCCAAACATATTTCCATTATTTTCAATTGTTATCAAAGCTTATCTATTTATTACCGTATGAAAAAAATTCACAAATATCGTTATTTTATTAATCCTGAAAATTTCTCTTCACGAAAAAAAACAAATGGAAAATAAATTAATCAAAAAATGCTCTTCATGTAAAAAAAACCAGAAACAGAAAATAATTTAAAAAAATAATTTTAAAATATTTGCCATTCCAAATATTTATTGTTGAAAAGTTATGTCGGAGGAAAACACAATTATGTTTTGTTACAAATCTGAAAAATCGGTTATGTGGCGTAAAAATCCAATAATTTGACCCACTTTTCCGGTTATGCATACTTCTTTTTTTGAATAGTATCATTTCCCCAGCGCTTTCAAAAGAAAAAAAATGTTCTATAAAACAAACAAGGTAGTTATTGTCAAATCTTTTAAAATAAAAAAAAAACCTCGCAATAATTGTTCTTGCTCTGAAAATATTTTTCAACACAGAAACAAAGTGTTTAAAAAAAAATGTTGGAAAAAGTATAACAGAAAAAAAATTTTTATGGAAAAATTATAAGAAAATTATAGAAAAAGTATTATATAAGAAAATTATAGAAAAAGTATTGCACAAGAAAATTACAGAAAGAGTAAAATTTATAAAAAAAATTTGGCTCAAATATAAGTAAAGAAAAACCGAAAATGTGTATGGCGTAAAGAATCGAGCATTTTAAAGTTAGATATATGATATTAAATACCTTAGCGATCGGTGGTTTTTCTCAGTCAGGATCTAGAGTTAAATATATAGGAATTGAACATGTCTTCACATACTTAGGAACCGAAAAGACTTCAATAAAACTTTATAAACTTCCTTCTTTCGTTTTTTTTTCAACACCACAATATAAAAGCTATTTATTAACAATTTAGCGATTTTCCATCCGTCTTTTTTGTAAAGGCAAAAATGTCTCTTTGAAATGCAATCGATTATAAATGTTATTGCAACTTCCCTACAATTTGAGGTCAACTTAAGAGCGCCGAAACGGATAAATCTTTGTGACAAGTTCAGCTTTAAAGGAAACCTCCCCGTTGAGGTTCTTTCAAGAATAAAATAAAATTAAATTTCCTCTTCAAATTTTCAGTTTTTGCAAAAATGTTACTTTTTGACTTTATCCAAAATATAAAATAAAATATAGAATTTACAGGTTTTCAAGGTTAAAAAAACAAAATTTTTCGACGTTTTTAAAACTACATTTATATTTTACAAAAATTAAATAATTATAGTCGTTATAATTTTTCCATAGGAATTAAAATTCTTTAAAAATTCAAATTCAAACCTTTTTGAAATTAAACAACTTATAAAAAATTGTTATAAAACATGACCGACTGATAAAATCATTATTTTATATTATAAGAATATTGTTACTCAAACTTATTCAAAATTACTTTCATCACTTCAATTCAATTATTGTTTTCCAGAATTTTTAACTAAAATTCTTCTTTAAATTAATTATTCATTCATTTTTAATAATTTTTGAAAAATTCCTTTGAAAATTTTCAAATTCATTTGTTTACAATT